TCTCAATCTCTATTAATTCCACAAAAGAGGTGAGCCTGATTTACATGATATTAAAAAGATGAAAGCCACAGATTGTTGTTACTTTGATTCTGAAAATCAAATAAAATGCAGAGGCAAGTAGTAGATGGAATTACAATAATTGAATAATTTTAGAATATTTGTATTGGGAGGGAATTGAGAGAGGAATGAGTGCACATTCCTTAATTTATAAAGCAAATCCCTCTAATCTGAATCTCAAGAAGGTAAAATAATAAATATAAGGACATACAACTGACTTAAATACAGCTGAGAGGAAAAGATATATAGATATATACCTTGTTTTACACCAAGTCTATCTATTTATCTATCTATCTAGCTATGTACCTATCTATCATCTACCATTTATATATATACAAAGAGAAAAGGAGATTGAGAACGCGAAAGACAGACCAAAAGAGAGAGAGACACGCACACGCACACGCACATGCACACGAGAGTCAGAAGGAGCCGGAGGGAGAGAGAGAGAGAAATGATCCCAACTATAGGGTGGAAGAGATTTGTTCACGCTGAAGTAGCCCTCAGTTATCTGGTTGGAAGTTATCAGTCTAAATTGCACAACCTTTGGGAATAAATTCCATTTCCTTTTTGTAAAATGTCTAGATCGATTCTCTCCGAAGTGGTGTACACCACAGGTAGTGGTCAGGAGAAGGGATAAGGTTTTTCGGTTCCCTAATTCCCTGTTTATTTTTTCCGAACCAAATTTACTAATTGAAATGCTAGGTCAGAAGCTCCAAACTGAAGAGCCACTGATGTAGAAGTCGAGAGTCTATGGGAACTCTTCAAAACATTAAAAACTCTAAGAAACATTAAACAAAAATTAAACAAAACATTAAAAAATTATATTTAATTATATTTATGATCATTTATACATAAACAGTATGAATTATCATGAGACTCCTGATCTTCAAAAAGACTATTATTAAAGGAGATTATCCTAAGATACCTCCTCTTACTTTAATTTCTATTGTAATTTAAGGAATTTTTGTAATATTGTAATTTTAAGGAATTTAAACTGTGTATTATTTTATACTTGTGTTTTTTAGATTTTAAGAGAAATATACTGTGAAACCTTATAAGTATTTAGTCTTTAAGTAAATATTTTTATTTATTTATTTTTTAAAGATTGTATTTACTTATTTGAGGGAAAGACAAAGATGGTGACAGAGATAGTGGGAGAGAGCACGAGTCCCCACTGGGCAGGGAGCCTGACGCGGGCTCCATCCCAGGACCTGGGATCATGGCCTGAGCCAGAGGCCTTTGCTTAACTGACTGAGCCACCCCGGCACCCCTTTAAGTAAACTTTATTAATTTTCCTTGGTATCTTATAAAACCTAGGTCTCTTCACCCTCGTTTCTTAATATTCTCTATTGGAAGGAAACGTTTACTCACTGAAGTAAACTACACTGAAAAGCTATTTCAAAGTTAAACACACACACACAATTTAATGTTCCAACTCTAGAAATTAAAAGTAAGACGTAGTACTTTATACTGTAAAGTCATGATCCAAATTAGGAAAAACCCCATGATGACATAAATTAGTGTGCTGTTTTAAAATATGTACGTCTCTATAGATAATTCACTATACATACAAATACACACACATATCCACTTTATCAATAATAAAGTATTATTGTTTAATTTCAGGGAAAAGGAACTGTAATTACAAATAAGATTGATTGGGATGCCCGGGTGGCTCAGAGGTTTGGCGCCTGCCTTTGGCCCAGGGTGCGATCCTCAAGTCCTGGAATCGAGTCCCGCGTCAGGCTCCCTGCATGGAGCCTGCTTCTTCCTCCTCCTGTGTCTCTGCCTCTCTCTCTCTCTCTCTGTCTATCATAAGTAAATAAATAAATAAATAATAAATAAATAATAAATAATAAATAAATAAATAATTAAATTTTTGAAAATAAATAACAAAAAAAAACAAATAAGATCGATTGCCTGATTACATTGAGAAAACATGGATCACTGATATTTTCCGCCATTTTCTGTCATGCTTAATTTTCAAAACTGTGTGTTGTTGGCTTGCTTTTTTCCTGCACTAGAAGAATCTTTGCTTTAAAAGAATCCACTGCAATCCTGATTCTGAGATGTCAGTACTTTTAAGTGGTGTTTAGCTCAACCATTTAAGAAGTACAGAGATTTTGAGAGGTTATTTGCGTATTGGTCATTGACATTTTACCAAACAGAAGTAGAACTGGAATGGAGTCAAATGGGGTTGGAGGAAGGAGAAATTAGATTTAAACAATGGGGTGATAGTGTACTTAGGTCTGTTTTCATATCGTAGATGTGTAATGGGAATCCTTCCGAGCCTTGGTTTCCTTGTCTCTGCAAGGAGGGGATATGGCCGTTGGGTTCCAAGGAAAGCTGATTCTGAGACGCAGATGAGCACTCGACTTGTTTATTATGGAGTGTGCTTGGGAGAAACACATAGGGAAGAGAGAGGAGGGAAGCAGGATTTGGGAACAGAATCTGGATTCTGATATAAGTCTAAGAGAATGCAAAATTATCTAATAAAATACATTTCATTTCCTACAAGAGAACGTATATTTTTCACCAATAAATTGAAATGCATTTCCATTTGGATATTAAGAAAATAAAAACCTGTTTGATATTAGGCTGCAACTCATGGATTTACAATGGGACTGCTGGTTTCCTTTATTAGAGGCAACACCTATGCTAATATGAATTTCTGACTGGAAAACTGTTGTTTTATTATTATAGTCTATTTATTTCAGGATATTTTATTTATTTATTTATTTGAGAAAGAGAGAGCATGAGCAAGTGAGAGAGAGGGCAGGAGAGAGAGAGAGCACAATCGGGGAGGTGGAGGGGCAGAGGGAGAGGGAGAAGCAGACACCTCGCTGAGCAGGATGTAGGGCTCCATCGCCAGACCCTGGGTCATGACCTGAGCCAAAGGCAGACACTTCAATGACTGAGCCCTCCGGGTGCCCCAAGGGAAATTGTTGTCTTAAATTATATTTTGTAGCATCATTAGTCACAAAATTTTTTTAAAAAATTATGACCTTTTTAAATGGAGAGAATGTGTGTGTGTGTGTGTGTGTGTGTTTTAATTTTCGTTTAAATTCCAGTTAGTTAACATAGAGTGTAATATTGGGTTTTGGTACGAAACACAGTGATCCAACACTTCCGTGAGACATTGGGTACCCATCAAAAGGACTCTGGGCCATGACCCAAGCTGAGGGCAGACACTTGCTATACTTAGCCACCCTGCTTTTCAATTAATTTAACTTAATATTTAATTTAATTTAATCTAATGTAATCTAATCTCATTTAACAAACTTTTTAATTTATTTGAAAAGCCAGTGGATTTGCTTAGTACTCTACCACCTTTTTAAAGTGAACAATTTGAAAAAAATCCAATAAGTCCAAATTAACAATCTCTCCTAAACCTAGTGCAGTTAATACTTGGTTTCCTCAGCAATGATTTCCTTAGGAATGTTTATTCCTAATTCAAAACTGGTAATAACTTGGGCACACGCACCCCTACCACACAAAGAGGATAAAAGAGAATTAAAATCTGTGTTGTCTGGCAATGAATGGAGAGTTAGTGTTGCAATCTAATATAATTATTCTTTAATTCAATCATACAAAATAATGTGTGAAGTACAACATGAAATTTTTAACCACAAGAAACACATATTAAGAGAACCCATGCCGCCTGTTTGGACATGTTAATCCACCCGGGATGAGGAAGGCAGGAAAATAACATTATAAGAAAAGAAGGAAAATTTTGGGGATTTAGAAATGCTTGTTTCATCAAACACTCACACGCACACTCCTACCACGTGAAACCAAACCAAAATACTGGTCCTTAAGACATTTTTGCCAGCTATGGACTCCCACGTTTTCCTTTGATAGTGAAGAGCTGAACACGGATTCCCTCTGCATCCCTGAATGCGTTTGCTGAATTGGATGACACGAATATCCAAGAATATGCGTACGACAGAGGCTGATTATATCTAAAACACATTATCATGCAGTGCTAATGTTTGGGATGTTTTCAAGAAATACTAGTTGAAATACAATAATTACGTCCCATGTAGTCAGTACAGAAAGATAAAATAAGGGTCAAATTTTAATTTTAATTTGAAGCTGTAGGGTTCTTTTGTGGGAACGTATAGTACCACAGAATTTTCAAAGGTAACGCTGAAGATCGTATGCTGGCCCTCGGGAGTCTATAGGATTCAATTCCGATTCTGGATTTCTGCTTATTAGCTCTTTAGACAGAGAGCTAACACCTAATAGTTTTTGATTCTGTTTTTTTTTTAAGATTCTTTTTTTATTTATTAGAGAGAGAGAGCAATAGCAGAGGGAGGAGTAGAGGGAGAGGGAGGAGCACACCCTCTGCTGAGCAGGGAGCCTGATGTGGGGCTCGATCCCAGGACCCTGGGATTATGACCTGAGCCGAAGGCAGATGCTTAACCATCTGAACCACTCAAGTGCCCCAATTCTTGTCTTTTTAATTCCGAAAATGCTTACAAGAATATTTATATTACAGTACTTTGTAGTTTTAAAGTGAGAAACGCACTTCTCCCCTCCTAGGGCACTAGGCCATACTTGGGCCTCAGAAGCTAGTACGCACCAAACCTGTTTAGTAGTCTTTAAAAAATAGATATTAGAATTCTAATTTCTAATCTTTTAAAAATAATTTAACCTTTTAACACCCTCATAATATGTCATTACTCGTGTATATGTCTATAATTATAATCATCGTATATATAGTAGATTTTTTTTAAGAATAGAAATGGCGTATTATTTATATTTGTTTGTTTCTATATCCAATCCAAGCTTCTATTATAGCGCTCTGAGTTTGGCTGGCATTCAGTAAAAGTTATTATAGAGGATTTACTGTTAAACTAGAGTTTTCTGTCCTATTTTTTTGAAAATGAAACCTATATTTTTTACTAGTGCAAAAAGGTGTGAAATTTTGAATTTCATACCTGGACCAGGTTCATGAGAGTATCTCTGAAGTGTCCTGAGGTCTCTGAGTAAATGTCTTCTTGAAGATTGCTGCCGTATTCTAGGAAGAAATAACCGTCCATGTTAAAGGTATGATTTATTATAGAACCACATGTCAACATACTTTTTTTTAATTTATTTTTTAAATTTATTTTATTTATTTATTTTTATTTATTTTTCATTTTTTTTTATTTTTTCAGCATACTTTGAATCAGTTAATGTCATTGTCCCAGTTGTGAGTGGAAAGTACAGGAAATACAATCAATCTATTGACACTTCTTTGTCTTTTACTGCCTCCTGCTCGGATGAAGCCAATCTTCTAAAGAATCCACCAAAGAAATGTGACACCTAACTAACATAGGCACAAGTCTGTTTTCTTAAAAAAAAAAAAAAGAACCTATTATTTTTATTCCAAAATTGAAAAACAACGTCGAGAGTCGTTTAACATTCTCCAATTCTCAAAATCTGGAATTCTGCATCTTATTTCCATAGACTGCTACCCAGCCCAGAACTTGTCCCAAGCGCTTTGTCTCCTTTTCATATTTTAGGTGAAGGTTCTTACTTCCTTCCCTTTGGGAATTTCCTCTTGTTCTCGTTTGATGCCACGAGCTGACTGTCTCGATTAGTATCTTGACATTCAATGAGAGGTAATACCTGATGCAATGCAGCTTGAGGTATTAGGCTTTTTTGGAAAGTAGAACTAGTCAACTTTATTATTTTTAAAATGCGTAAAAATATGATTTTGAGATAGATCCCAGGGATTATGAGATGTATGTGCGGTGCAGTAGTTACCCACATTTGTCGAATTTGCAAAGAGGTCATTGCCCTTTGCTTTAGTCTCTACCCGGTCTCTCTCAGGTAAGGGATAAATGCTCCTGAGCCACAGCACTGTGCACCTGCCTGTATTAATGTAAGCACTTAGCTTGTAGTAAGTTGTACGTATTTTCTTGGAAACTTTTCTTAACTTGACTGTCTAGAGAATCGTTTCATTTTTGGCACCTGATCATCAAGTTTACTTAAGAGTGTTTAATTGGTCTTGAGTGAGAAATATTTCAAATATAAGGGTATCTTAGAAGAAAAAAACAAAAAAAATGGTTAAACTGAAATATTTTGTGCATTTGAGTAATATAAGGTTTATATGTGTGTAAGGCATAGGCACATATGTGCATTTCCTTACGCAGATAGTAGGCTTCTCGCATCTGGAAAATTTCTCCATTTGTTCTTGAAGCTAAAATATCAATGAGGCAGTTTTCTTCAGTGCCTGCTCCCTGAAAGACGGAGAAAGGGAGAAATAGAAAAGGCATTTGTACTGGGAATAATAGTGCATCTCCTATATAATAAAGATTTACAACATTCCTGGTATTCTGAGAGGGCGGAGGAGAAAGAAAGCGTGTTTGGGACGAGGATGGGCCCGATTCAGTTCTGGCTCTGCTGTGTCCTAGCCTCTTGCCCCTGAGAAGATACTATTTTCTGAAACCCTGTTCCTTCATTTAGAACAAAACAACACGGACATTTTTATATAACGTGGAAAAAAGATGTTTGAGCTCATGACACTGATTTTGTTTTTTTCCTACTAGAATATCAGCTCTTTGCAAAGCTGAAATTAGAATTTCGGTCTCTGAGTTTCCTAAAGATGATTCAAGGCCCGCTCTCTGCCTCTCCCTAAATGTGGAGTTTTGTACCAATTGTCTAAGGTTTGGACTGGGTACTTTCTCGGGTCTCTAACAGCTGTACGCATGTGTTTTTCTGTTACAGTGATTGTAAAGGCCGCACATCTTCTGGAAAGTCTCAGAAATCCTTAGCATTCAATGTGACCCTGATAAACGATAACCCTTTATCTAAACAGTAACCTGAGACTTCCTTCTTCTAGTTCGTAAGCACATCATTTTGCAAGAGGTAGGAATTGCCACATCAAAAAAAAAGCGATTGGTTTAAATACATATGAATTTTATACAATGCTTATTCTCATCTGCAAAAATGATGGCCAAAATCCAAGTTCCCTTAATGTCCCCTCCCGCTCCCTCTTTCCTGCCCCACATCACTCACGGATCGAGTAACTTGATCACAGGCAGGCATCGTATTGGAACGATTGCAACAATTCTGCAGGTGTTTAATATCTGTGTTTGGCAAGACGTAAAAACCCGTTCACGCCCCATCCCTGGCCGAGAAAGTCTCTAACAAATCTGTAGTCAATTTATTTCGTGGGCGTGACTTCACTGTAAGGAAGAATTATTCTGGTTCTTCAGAAGTAAAATTTTTATACATTCGAGCAACAGTTTTTATAAAAGAGTAACTTAAGGTCACAAAAATAAATAAAGATGTCTATATTTTATCTCTGACTCAGTATCCTACCTCTACGTAGTGAGTCCGATACTTAACAAAAATTTCAAGAGGTTCACACGACGTAGAACTTTTTTGCTTAACATATGAATACACACTAGGGAGGGACAGAGATGAACAGCCCTGGAAGCTTACTTCGTTCTTCCTTGTGGTTCAGCACGGAGGTGGGTCAGCGGGTCTGCGTGCGCACAGCAAACGAACAGACTGGTCCCAGCCACTGGGGCCTAGGGGTCCCTCTTCCCAACAGGGTCACTTGTCCTGAGCACAGCATGTGCATTGCTCTAATTTTGCTCAGATATCCCCTCCTCTAAACCTGATCCCATAGAGCAACATCCCAGGGCAGTTCCCGCTCTATTGAAATATTGCCTCGCACTTCTTCCAGGCGAGTTTTCCTGTCAAACCACTACCTTCATGGCATGCCAGAGTTCATGGGCATCGTAAGATGGTGGCGGGTACATGAGGCCAACCATGACGTCTTTGAAGTGATCTGAGAGCTTCTCCCGCAGGTCACCAATTAAGTCCTATGGATGGAAAAGCAAAGACTTTTATTATATTAGTCACCAATTTTACAAGAGAAATGGGATAATTACAGAAAGTCTTCTGACTACGATTTCCATGTATTTTTGGTCCTACCATCTTTTTTTTTTCTTGTGATTGACTTCAAGTTTCATAGCGTTGTGGTCTGAAAATATGCACGGCATGATCTCGATCTTTCTGAGGGCTCGCTGAGGACTGATTTGTGACCCAGTATGTGGTCTATTCTGGAGAATGTTCCATGTGCACTCAAGAAGAATGTGTATTCTGCTGCTTTAGGATGAAATGCTCTAAATATCTGTTAAGTCCATCTGGTCCAGTGCGTCATTCACAGCTGTTTCCTTGTCGATTTTCTGCTTAGGTGATCTGTCCATTGCTGTAAGTGGGGTGTTAAAGTCCCCTAATGTTATTGTATTGCTTTCAATGAGTGTCTTTATGTTTGTTATTAATTGAGTTATATATTTGGGTGCTCCCAAGTTCGGGGCATAAATCTTTACAATTGTTAAACCTTCTTGATGGATGGAACTATTAATTATGATATAATTCTATTTTTCATCTCTTGTTATGGTGTTTGGTTTAAAATCTAGTTTGTTTGCTATAAGTATGGATACTCTGGCTTTCTTTTGCTCTCCACTAGCGTGATAGATGGTGGTCCTCCATCCCCTCACTTTCAGCCTGCAGATGTCTTTAGGTCTAAAATGAGCCTCTTCTACGTAGAATATAGATGGGTCTTATTTTTTTATTCCACTCTGATACTGTATATCTTTTGATTGGAGCATGTAGTCCATTTACATTCGAAGTCATTATTGAGAGATAGGAATTTAGTGCCTTGATGTTACCTGTGAAGTTGGTGTTTCTGGTGATGTTCTCTAGTCCTTTCTAGTCTTTGTTGCTTTTGGTCTCCCCCCTCACTCACTCAGAGTCCTTTTAATATTTCTTGCATGACTGGTTTAGTGGTCACAGACTCCTTTAGTGTGTGCTTATCTAGGAAACTCTTTATCTCTCCTTCCATCCTGAATGACAGCCTTGTTGGATAAAATATTCTTGGCTGCCTTTTTTTTTTTCCATCCAGCACATTGAATATATCCTGCCACTCTCTACTGGCTGCCAAGTTTCTGTGGACAGATCTGCTGCAAGCCAATCAGTCTTCACTTGTAGGTTAAGGGCTTTTTCCCTTGCTGCCTTCAGGATTCTTTCCTTGTCTGTATACTTTGTGAATCTGGCTATATGTCTTGGTGATGGATGGCTCTTTTTGAATTTATTGGGAGTTCTCTGGGCTGGTGTTACTGACTCCAGCTTCCACCGGGTGGTGTTATTTTGCTCACTGAAGTCAGTCATTTGGGGGGTGGGGTTGGTGGGAAATTGTGTTCCTGGCTCTCACTCTCTTGTCCACAGAGCAGGGAGTCTGCATCTGCCACTCATCAGGAAGCCCTCACAGAAGAAGGAACAATTACCTCTCTTGTCGCTGGCTTCCATCAGGTCCCCGTCTTCACCCTGCCTGCATCAGAGCTGTCCACCTGCCAGGTGGTGCAGTACTTCTACATTTTGTCTTAGGCACACAGCTGGGCTTAAAAACTTCAACTTTTATAGATTTGGGGGGGGGGTAAGGACTCATGATGATGCTCTGGGGGAGGGTCTTGCTGCACTGTAGCTGATGCCAGTTTGTCCCAGAAATTGGTTGTGAAACCATGTAACTGTTTGAAGTTAATTAATCAATTAATTAATTAATTATTTAAGAGACCACATGTCAGCGTGAACAGGCATGCGTGGGGAGGGGCAGAGGGAGGGGGAGAAACAGACTCCCCATTTATCAGAGAGCTTGAGGTGTGGGGGTCAGTCCCAGGATCCTGCAATCATGATGTGAGCCAAAGGCAGATGCTTAACTGACTGAGCCACTAGGTGCCCCTCAACTGTTCTAAATTTATGATAAAGCACAACCAAAAAGCCAGCACCAAGGTTTGCTGCCCCCAGCTGATGCCTTTGTTCCTGTGCTAGTGAACATGGCAGCACATTGGTACCCTCAGTTCTTTTGTCCCCAGAGAGGCTGTGCCACCACTCCCAAATGCACTCCAAGTGGGGAAATGTTCCTCCCTGTGCGCCCCGGGGCATCCTCTGGTCTTGTCACCTGCTCCAGGTTTCTACGTTCTTTTCCCACCAGAGCACTGCCAAGCTCAACAGGCATGACCTTGGCATGACCTCGGTCCTCGTGGACCACCAGAACTTCGGACTTTGTGCTCCACTGTTTATAAACACCTGTGGTACACAGACCTTCTCCTTTCTCCAGTCAGTGGTTTTGGGGAAGAGTTTTTCTCATGCTATTCCTTGTGCGTGCTTTCATTCTTTCTCTCTCTCTCTTTTTGTCTCACTTCTCTCTCTGTGACCAGGGCTCCCTCCCCTTTGTAGCACTTTTGATTCTTTTCTCCCCAGATCAACTCTCCACAGCTCCTGCTGTCCACAGGGTGGCTGATTTCTACCTCTGCTTGTGTAGCTTTGTGCTCTCCGTCCTCAGATCAGTTTCTTAGGTGTTCAAAATGATTTGATATTTATCTGTGTCTGAGGGATGAGGCAAGCTTACAGCACCCCCACTCTTCGGCTTTCTTAACTCCTCTCCGCATTTCTTTTCCTTTTTTTTTTTAAAGACTTTATTCATTTATTCATGAAAGACACACAGAGAGAGGCAGAGACACAGGCAGAGGGAGAAGCAGGCTGGCTCCCTGTGGGGACCCCACGGTGGGACTCCATCCCAGTTCCCTGGGATCATGCCCTAAGCTGAGGGCAGATGCTGAACCCTTGAGCCACCCAGGCATCGCCCTCCACATTTCTGCACTGAGTATCGGCTACATTAGTCTGCTCAGGTTGCCTGCCAGTTTACTGTAGACTGGATGGTTTAAACAAAGCAATTTATTTTCTTACAGTCTGAAGCCTGGAAGTCCTAGATCAAGGTACTGGCAGGGCTGGTTTCTAGGGAGATATCTTCTGGCTTACAGATGGCTGCCTTCTTGCTGTATCCTCACATGGTCTTTTCTTTATACATGCACTGCTGGTATCTTTTTTTCTTCTTAGAAGAAAGAACACCAGTCCTATATAGCATTAGGGCCCTGCCCTTATGACCTCATTTAACCTTAGTCATCTCCTTAAATGCCTTATCTTCAAATACAGTTACTTTGGGAGGTTAGGGTTTCAACATTTAAATGTTACAGTTGAGGCTGTAACACCGGCTTTGTGCCTGCCGCTGTCATAAGTGCTTTGGACACAGTAATGAACAAAACAAAGATTCCTCTCCTTGTGGGGCTTGTATTAGGGAGAGGTGGCAAACAATAAATAATACGTACATATAAATAAATCAGGTAGAGTGTTAGAAAGCAGTGAGTGTTAAAGAAAAAAAAACCCAAAAATAGGTGAAAGAGATGTGGGTTTGGGTGGCACAGGCTTTGGGTGGATGACAGTTTTGAACAGACCAGTCAGACTGGGCCTTCTGGAGTAGCAGACATTGCCCAAAGCCTTGAAGAATATGAGGCGGGTAGCAGGATAGGTATCTGCTCTTGTTAAATCTGGTGCTCATTCGGTTGAGAACAACAGGCATGGAGAACTTTGAAAGACATGATTTAGAGTCGGATAACCTTGGTTTAAGTTCTAACTTTGTATTGCTCAGGGCAAGTTAGCCTCGGCTCTAAATTGTATGACCAACACCACCATTTTAATGAATTCTAGATGCCCGGGTACTTCAGAGCTGATTATCCCTGCTTCAGATGAAAACTGAGAGCATAAATTAGGTTGATTACATCCAGGATTCATTGTCCAAGTGCTGAACTTATCAGGTATGAATAGTTTCTCTGCCTAGCCCCAGAGGTGTTTCCTTGTTCCCCTGGTTTTGCAGCACTGGCGATAGCATAGTGTTTACTTTGGTGTGGAAGGTCACGGGAGACCTCATAATTATGTCGGTTAATATGTCAGTCAGAGGCGTTCCAAAAGGCTTTTCATTTGAGTGTAGGGATTAGTGTGCTCTGGGTGAGGAAAAGTTGATGAAAGTCAGCCATTCCTCACTAGTGTAAAATGTCAAGTAGTACGTATCTATGGAGCGTGCCTACACTAGCGCTTTGTTCAGCAGCTAAAAAAATAATTCTGGCAAATCTTGATTAGCCATATTAATAAAAAATAATATCAAAGACTAACATACAGGAAGTCTCTAAACTCTCGCTACGGAAAGGGAAAGATAGCAAAAGTGTAAAGTGCATGATACAGGAATGTCCCCTCCCCCCCTCCCCCTTTTTAAACCTAAATGTAAGTAGGCAAAATAGAATTCCTTAGATTCCCTTGTTCTGTAAATGAAATGCATCTTCTGTGTTAGGCCCTGGGCTGAGCTCTGGAGGGATTGCAGCAAACAACCTGGTCCCTGGTTTTCTAGGGGATTTCAGTCCAGTCATCAAGAGAAAAAAGTGAACGGACACAACCCAGTGTGGCAAGGCCATGGGAACAGTATGTACGGGGAGTTCTGTGACACCCCCCCCCCCCGCCAAGAAGCTAGCTCAGGGCAGAGGGTGAGTGTGACAGGTGGGGCAGGCTACACAAGCAACCGAAACTGCCTTCACACTGTCATCGCACAAACATGACTAAGCAAACTCAGCACATTGTATAGACATTTGGGCTAGACCCTAGGGACGGATGAACGCATTCCAACTTTCAAAGATTCAGATTCCGGTAAAGGGAAACACATGTAAACAAGCTCACTGATGTGTCCCTAGGGCCTGAGGGGGAAGTTTTGTGAATACAGTAGCAGCACGAGTCCCTTCCACTCTGTTTGGGGTTAGTGGTGTGAGGAATTGTGCAAGTCGGGAGGGAGAGCGGTGTGCAGCTTGTGGAGGGAGGAAATCAGGCCCCTGAAGTAGATGAAGCGCCCTGATTAAAGGGGGGGCACGGGCGTTTGGAGAAGTGTAGATAGCTCAGTGGTCTGCAGTCACTGGAGTGTGAAGAGGGGAGGGAAGGAGGACGACGGAGAAGAGAAACAGTAAGCAAGGCTTTGTATGTCCTGGGAAGGTACTGGCGTATTCTATGGACTTGTGGGTGTTTGTGAGGCAGAAATGAGATAAACACTCAGGGCCCGAATCGAGGAAGCAGAAATCTGGATTTGGAATCGTTCTGGCTTCCGTGTGGGGGATAGACCAGAGCGGGGAGGCATGAGGGTAGCAGGTACCTGGTAGGAGTCTCACGCTAGTCTGGGAACCAGATGAATCAAGACTGTGCAAGTGGGAGAAAAAGAAAGAAATGTGAGAGGAAAAATGATTTTCAAGGCTGGGTAACAGGTTGCATGACAAGGGTATTTTGGGGGAAAGGGGCCAGCAGGATTCACCGTCATCCGTTGGCGCTATCTGCTGTTAGCCCAGCTTTCCCTTGCGGTGTGCGCCGTTCGGCAGAAGGGAGGGGTCAACCAACCCTGAGACCTCTGAGAGTGTAAGTTGTTTAACGGATTTTACGTGCCTTGAGTGTAAGTACGTCCTCTCTTAATGTTTTAATCTGTTTTAGTGTAATTTTGTGGGACGTAGTAAAGCAATGCCTCCAACCTAAATTGACCTGACGTATAAAATGCAAAGATGTACGTACACTTTTGGGTTAAAAAATACTGGAAAATGACCACTCTTATAACAGTATGCATATTAAAATAACATTTGATTAGTGATGCTACGACTTTGATGGTTTTTTACATTCTCTTTCAAAAGAAAACTAGCCTTGGGATCATAGGAACATAAGCTGACATAGCAGTTTTACCTGGGGAAAAAAAAATAAGAAGAATGCTTGGTTTTCTTCCATGGCTTAATTCAACTAATTTCACTAGTAGGGGTAGCTTCTTTGATTATTAATTTATACTGCAACAGAGGGCTCTCCTTTATCTCAGGTATTATAGCTGGTTAAAGACCGAGGCTTAGAGATGGAGTGAATTTATAAGAGCTAACTCTAGAGGGAAAGTTTAATGATAGTGCTTCATCCATAATGCTCAGTTGACAAAGTAATTGGTATTTCAGGCCCTTTTGGCCTGAAGAGTTTTTGTTCTGAATCTGTGGTTTAAATGCATAACAAAAGAAAAGAATCTTTAACGGCACTTGCTTTGAAATTAGGAGGTGATTACTTTAAAGCACGATGGATAGTTTTATTGCCTTGAACTCTTTTTAACTGCCGTTCTTTTTTAATGGTCCCTGCAACTGCAAGCTGTGAGAAGAAAAGCTAGTACAGGATTCACTTTGGTTGAGGGTTAGGTGAAGACCCGTGCAGAATTGCAGGAAAGATCTTATTTTTTTGACCCAGTGATCATTAGCCCTTTCTCTGCTTTCCCTAAAGCTTGACACGGGGCCGTTTCCAGCACAACATTTCTAGTCTCATTGGGCCGAGCAGCAGGGTGGGCCTATCAGAACGTCCATTTTTGTGAAGCCGAAGGGGTTTTGAGAAGGGACTGGTAGGGTTCCTAGGAGTGTGAACATGCCTCACACATGCACACGTCTTTCTTACAGTCCTTGGAACATGTTAGAGGCATAGGAACCGTTTCTGGCCCGCGGTGGAGTCTGAGATCTTTGTCATCTGTGAGACTGAGGAGATAGCAGTACCTGTTTTCCGAAACGGTTATGATTTCCCAGGAGTTTGCCCTAAAATAGGTCAAGCGGAAGAGACCCTACCCGGCCGAGCAAGCTCTGGTAGGCCTCCGCAATCATCAGCCTTTGTGCGTTCGAGCGCTGAGTTAGAAGGGCGATCAGCATGTCTTTGTCGCAGCCTGGAGGAGAAGAATATTGGGAGATTAGTCAAGTTGCCGCTCTGTAGTTTGGAAGAAGCCGTTATCTAGGGATCAAAAGCCATGGCCCAGGCATCGTCCCGATGGTGCTTTGGAGCAGTGAGCGATTTTAACTAAAATTGGAAATCGTAGAGCAACGCTTGATGAGGGCTGCGTTCTTCTTCCCTCTCATTTTAGTGCTGTTCCTACTGATTTCCCTTTAAAAAGATCCAATTTAAGAAATGCAGAGGGAGAGGGATAAAATGCATGTCTTTCGTCAGCCACCTCTTCCACTCCACCCAAAAAGGCTTCCTTGACCTTCAAGCTGATCGGTGCTCAAATGGGTGCAGCATCTTTCTCATCTTACAGTTAAGAGGCATAGTTTGTAAGGAACATGCACTAAGACAAAAATAACAGCTACGGTTCAAAACCTCCAGAAGGAAGAGTAATGGAGAAGGAAAGTGTGGAAGTGCGAGGGCCGCGTAACCTCCTGGGGGACTGTGTGAATCTTATGGCCGCCATGTAGCATACGGCCTCCTCCTCCTGTAGCCGAGGCTGTTTCTGGGCTGCCTGAGGCCTCCACTTCCTTATATGCCAACTCCTCGCACCGATATAACACCTGAATGCACAGCTGGTTTGACAAATTTAGCCCTAATTGTAGTCATAGTAGAGTAAGCAAGAAGGCCCGAACATTTCCCTCAGCTTGACTAAAATTTAGACAGGTTCTTTCTGACTATAGACTCTCGTTCCCCCTTTTCTGGGAGCATTTGCTTTGGAAACCTTGCAACTGTAAAGTCTTCTTTACTCCTTTGAGAAATAAATCTGCCAATCACTTCCCAGTTTTACAACCCAGAAATGTCTTTCCCAAAAGCTTGGAAGCCATCTCTTTGAAATATAATCATGAAGAAAGAGAGAATCCCTATCTCCCAGTCTCTGTGAGGGAACAGGGACCTTACTTTTCTTAAGAAATAATTAACAGGGATCCCTGGGTGGCTCAGTGGTTTGGCACCTGCCTTCAGCCCAGGGTGTGATCTTGGGGTCCCCGGATCGAGTCCCACATCGGGCTCCCTGCATGGAGCCTGCTTCTCCCTCTGCCTGTGTCTCTGCCATTCTCTCTCTCTCTCTCTCTCATGAATAAACAAATAAAAAAAAATCTTAAAAAAATAATAATTAGCAGACACAGATGACCTAATCACATTGACAAACACGCCCAAATCCCAGTGTTCTCCAGTACTTTTCAGCTAGTCCTCCCCTCTCCACTTATCTCCGATGCTCAAAAGCTCTCTTGTCATTAGTTTCAGAGGAATTAAGTTCGGTCTCTCTCCTCTATTGCTTATGTCTTGATTTCTGTTGCAATAGTCTCAAATAAAGTCTTCCTTGCCTGTTCAATTCTGTATAATATAATTTTTCTTTGACAAAAGGAGACATTTATTGGAGAAGAGGAAAAAAAGGAATTGCCAGGCTAGGATGTTAAGCAAATTATCTTTTTGGATGCCCTTAGGTTTTTAGGAAAGCAGAGTCAGGTGCTGAAATAGCCAGTAAATGAAGGCAGGTGACTATGATTTACCTAGATAATTCTACCATGTGAAACAAAAGGAAGAGCAGGATGTTTTATGTCAATGTCAGAAAGGCAATTCAGAAGCACAGTTATAAAGCTATGGGTGACTCTAGTAAAAAGCATAAAGGATTCAAGAGACTTCATGACTGCAGAATTTCTATCTAATTAGGCTGAAATTAAAAATCAATTAAACGAGATGCAATCCAAACTAGAGGTCCTAATGACGAGGGTTAATGAGGTAGAAGAACGAGTTAGTGACATAGAAGACAAGTTGATGGCAAGGAGGGAAACTGAGGAAAAAAGAGAAAAACAATTTAACTATCATGAGGATAGGTTAAGGGAAATAAATGACAGCATCAGAAGGAAAAATCTACGTTTAATTGGGGTTCCCGAGGGCCCCGAAAGGGACACAGGTCCAGAAAGTGTATTTGAACAAATCATAGTTGAGAACTTCCCTCATCTGGGAAGGGAAACAGGCATTCAGATCCAGGAAATAGAGAGATCCCCCACTAAAATCAATAAAAACCGCTCAACACTTCAACATTTAATAGTGAAACTTGCAAATTCCAAAGATAAAGAGAAGATCCTTAAAGCAGCAAGAGACAAGAAATCCATAACCTTTATGGGGAGAAGTATTAGATTAACAGCAGCCCTCTCCACAGAGACCTGGCAGGCCAGAAAGGGCTGGCAGGATATATTCAGGGTCCTAAATGAGAAGAACATGCAACCAAGAATACTTTATCCAGCAAGGCTCTCATTCAAAATGGAAGGAGAGATAAAGAGCTTCCAAGACAGGCAGGAACTGAAAGAATATGGGACCACCAAGCCAGCTCTGCAACAAATATTAAGGGGGACTCTGTAGTAGAAAGAGGAAGTCCAAGGAAGCAATCCACAAAGACAGGGACTGAATAGGTATCATGATGACACTAGATTCATATCTGTCAATAGTAACTCTGAACGTGAACGGGCTTAATGACCCCATCAAAAGGCGCAGGGTTTCAGACTGGATAAAAAGCAGGACCCATTTATTTGCTGTCTACAAGAGACTCATTTTAGACAGAAGGACACCTACAGCCTGAAAATAAAAGGTTGGAGATCCATTTACCATTCAAATGGTCCTCAGAAGAAAGAGGTAGCCTTCCTTATATCAGATAAACTAAAGTTTATCTCAAAGACTGTAGTAAGAGATGAAGAGGGATACTATATCATACTTAAAGGGTATATCCAACAAGAGGACCTGACAATCATGAATATTTATGCCCGGAATGTGGAGGCTGCCAAGTATATCAATCAATTAATAATCAAGGTTAAGACATACTTAGATAATAATACACTTATACTTGGTGACTTGAACACAGCGCTTTCTACAATCAACAGATCTAAGCACAGCATTTCCAAAGAAACAAGAACTTCAAATGATACACTGGACCAGATGGATTTCACAGATATTTACAGAACTTTACATCCAAATGCAACTGAGTACACATTCTTCTCAAGTGCACATGGAACTTTCTCCAGAATAGACCACATACTGGGTCACAAATCAGGTCTTAACTGATACCAAAAGATTGAGATGGTCCCCTGCATATTTCCAAACCATAATGCTTTGAAACTAGAACTAAATCACAAAGAAGAAGTTTGGAAGGACCTCAAACACGTGGAGGTTAAGGACCATCCTGCTAAAAGATGAAAGGGTCAACCAGGAAATTAGGGAAGAATTAAAAAGATTCATGGAAACTAATGAGGATGAAGATACAACCATTCAAAATCTTTGGGATAAAACAAAAGCAGTCCTGAGGGGGGAATACATCCCAATACAAGCAGCCATCCAAAAACTGGAAAGAACTCAAATACAAAAGCTAACCTTGCACCTCAAGGAGCTGGAGAAAAAAACAGTAAATAGACCCTACACCCAGCAGAAGAAGAGAGTTAATAAAGATTCGAGCAGAACTCAACGAAATAGGGACCAAAAGAACTGTGGAACAGATTAACAAAAACAGGAGTTGGTTCTTTGAAAGAATTAAAAAGATACATAAACCATTAGCCAGCCTTATTAAAAAGAAGAGAGAAAAGACTCAAATTAATAAAATCATGAATCAGAAAGATCACCATCAACACCACGAAAATCTAAACGATTTAAAAAAATTATTATGAGCAGCTATATGCCAATAAATTAGGCGATCTAGAAGAAATGGACACATTTCTGGAAACCTGCAAACTACCAAAACTGGGACAGGAACAGGGAGATAATCAGGGAGGAAATTGAAGCAGTCATCAAAAACCTCCCAAGACACAAAAGTCCAGGGCCAGATGGCTCCCCTGGGGAATTCTATCAAATGTTTAAAGAAGAAATCATACCTATTCTACTAAAGCTGTTCAGAAAGATAGAAAGAGATGGAGTACTTCCAAATTCGTTCTATGAGGCCAGCATCACCTTAATTCCAAAACCAGAAAAAGACCCCACCAAAAAGGAGAATTATAGACCAATATCCCTGATGAACATGGATGCAAAAATTCTCAACAAGATACTAGCCAATAGGATCCAACAACACATTAAGAAAATTATTGACCACGACCAAGTGGGATTTATCCCCGGGACACAAGGCTGGTTCAACACTCATAAAGCAATCAGTGTGATTGATCATATCAGCAAGAGAAAAAACAAGAGCCATATGATCCTCTCAATAGATGCAGAGAAAGCATTTGACAAAATACAGCCTCCATTCCTGATCAAAACTCCTCAGAGTGTAGGGATAGAGGGAACATTCCTGAGCATCTTAAAAGCCATCTACGAAAAGCCCACAGCAAATATCATTCTCAATGGGGAAACACTGGGAACCTTTCCCCGAAGATCAGGAACAAGACAGGGATGTCCACTCTCACCACTGCTATTCAACATAGTCCTAGAAGTCCTAGCCTCAGCAAAAAGACAACAAAAAGAAATAAAAGGCATTCAAATTGGCAAAGAAGAAGCCAAACTCTCCCTTTTCACAGATGACATGATACTGTATATAGAAAACCCAAAAGACTCCACCCCAAGATCGCTAGAACTCATACAGCAATTCGGCAGTGTGGCAGGATACAAAATCAATGCCCAGAAGTCAGTGGCATTACTAGACAATGAGACTGAAGAAAGAGAAATGAAGGAGTCAATCCCATTTACAATTGCACCCAAAAGCTAAGATACGTAGGAATAAACCTAACCAAAGAGGTAAAGGGTCTATAACCTAAAAACTACAGAACACTTTGGAAAGAAATTGAGGAAGACACAAAGAGATGGAAAAATTTTCCATGATCATGGACTGGAAGAATTAATATTGTGAAAATGTCAATGTTACCCAGGGCAATGTACACGTTCAATGCAATCCCTATCAAAATACCATGGACTTTCTTCAGAGAATTGGAACAAACCACTTTAAGATTTATATGGAATCAGAAAAGACCC